ACTTGGTTAAAGTCGACTTTGGTCAAGGTCAACATCTGGTTGACCAGACTCGCCGAGTTGTTCCACCAACTCGTTGAGTCCCTACATCCACAAAATGCTACAGCCCCGCCCATACTCATCGAGTCTAGCAAGAGCTCGACGAGTTTGCCTTCAACAAAACATCGCGACCTTCTTCAACTGACTCGTCGAGTTCCTCCTTGAACTCGTCAAGTTCATCCTCATCCATATGAAGGTGTTTAGTCTATGAATCATCGAGCCCGTCTTCATGTGGTTGGGACATTTCCTTGAACTCGCCGAGTTCCTCCTTGAACTCGTCGAGTCCTTTGATCTTCAAGTCCATAACTAACCCCAACAGGCTGAGTTTTCCTTCAACTCAACCAAAGACCACTTCCAGAAGTTGTTTTGGGGGAAATTACGACCCGACTCACCGAGTCACCTAAGCGAATCGTCGAGTCCCTCTTTGTCCAAAACTATACAGTCTATTTTAATCGGTCTTAATGCATCCAAATCATAGATCTGACCTCCTAGGGTCCATATTATACGTAAAGTTCCAATCTTGACGTCCATACATGAGGTGTTTGGCCTAAATGGCCCTAGAATGAAGTCTACAAGATGCATGGGGTGCTTATGGAAATAAAGTTTGCACCTTTATGCCATAAGAACCCTCAATGGTTCCATATCTGAAGTTATACCCTCAATGAACCACAAAATTCTGAGTATGGAACCTCTAAGGCTTAGAATAGATAGAAATGAACCCTAAATAGAGATCTAAGAGATAGATGGTCAAGGTTTCAACTTTATACCTCAAATGAGATGGAAATAGGGCACAACCTATGGATCTACTAGCTTTCACTCGAACTTCCAAGCTCCTTCTTCCTTCTCAAGATTCACAATCACCACAAGCACACAAAAATGGCTCAAGAACTGTAACACTCAAAATTTAAGCCAAATTTAAATTTTCAAAAACACGTTGAATTCATTAAAACATTACAACTTTGTTTTCAAAATACATTTATATCAGAGTTTTTCCCAGAAACATAACACAATAGGAGGAGCTGTACGATCATGCCTTCGCCTTGCCGCGATCCCCTGAGGTACCTGAAAGAATAAGCTGAAACTGTAAGCCCGAGAGCTTAGTGAGTTACCCCCAAAATACCGATACACATACAGTTCACATAGCAATATCAACATTAGCATATCATATCAATCAAAACAGAACAGCATGCACTGGGTCCACAGCTTTACAAGCTGGACTACCCCTGGGCCCTCAGTACGAGTCTGGAATGCCTACTAACCCTTCAACTTGTATCTGGAATGCCATCGAGCCCTTAGTACGAGTCTGGAATGCCTACCAGGCCCTCAGCTCGTATCTGGAATGCTCTCAGGTTTGTTGTCTACCGCACCGAGCAGTACAACCTCAACCCACCCCACATAACATGTTGAGATGTAACAGATAAATGCGCACACAGGTAATCAATCAGTATCACAGGCAGTCCTACAGATCTACCCGACTAGCACATCAACTGGCATGCATTACTAACTCAAACTCTACGTAACAATAACTACTAGGATATCAAATCCAATGGGCCGGACTTGGTGCCTTAGACCCCTTTAGTATAGTGAGGATAACTCAACTCGCAACTATCGTTGGAAATAAGAAAGCTCAACTTTCGGGTCCAACACGAACTTCACCACCTAAAAGTACCACACAACCTTTTTCATAAATCTCCCAATCCCACAGAATTCAATTGGTCAACCCCTTGGTCCAAGTCAAAGACCACAATCAGAGTCAACAGTCCATGCTGACTCGACTCGCCGAGTGCAGGTCTCCGACTCACCGAGTTCTTCCTGAGTTCGAGAAGTCATGGAATCCTCGACCTGGTCGCCGAGGTCTCCTTTTCACTCATCGAGTTCATATACGGCCAAGATTTTGGGAGAAACCCTAGCCAACTTGCCGAGTTTTCTAACACTCGCCGAGTTCAAGGCAATCTTCAACGAACTCGCCAAGTTCATGGCCATCTTCAACGGACTCGCCGAGTCCCTTAATCAACTCGCCGAGTCCATGCAGATCTTAATCCATGCAGATGCTCTTTATGCCATGGCAAGGCCCCAAATTACATATCCAAGCTCCTAAGGCATGTTTATTACGTAAAGTTGCAATCTTTACGTACATGCAAGGCTCTAAAGGCCCGAAATGATCAATCTAAGCTCTTTAATGGAGTTTTACACCTTGGGAGGGTTTCAACCTTGCACAACCTGGGAACTTTATGGATCTAGAGGTCAAGGGAAGTCCAGATCTGAAGTTATAACTTCAGATCTTAGCTTAAACATGGAGAGTCCTTCATAACACCCATCCAAGGGAGGTTCAAAGTGATAAGGGCTTAAGGAATAGCCTATTACCTTCCAGAGAGTAATGTTTGATGCAATTCCTTAGTTTTCCCGAGCTCCTGGCCTTGCTTTTCCTTGCTTCTTCAAATACTTCCTTCCAAAGTTACTCCTTCAAGCTTGGACACCAAAGAACACACACACACATGCACACACACACACACACACGTTTTAGGGTTTGAGAGGGACAAGAAGCATAAGGGGAGGCTGGTGGAGGCCAATGATCCTTTAAATAGGGTGTAAGACCCCAGAATTTAGGGTTTCATCTGTCAGCTCCTACTCGCTGAGTCCTTTGGTGGACTCGCCGAGTAGGTCACTAAACTCGCGTTCCAATCCCACTGCTACTCGGCGAGTAGGGCAACCAACTCGCCGAGTAGGACATAAGACCAATTATTCTTTAATTAAATTTATACCTGCAATCGGGACGTTACAAGAACACTCAAACAAGGTTAGAGTTTCGATTTAGGGTTTCTCTGAGTTGGGAGGGACGATGGGGGCTAGGTTGAAGCAGGATAAGTTGTTTAAATAAGGTGCAAACCCTAAATATTAGGATTTCATCAAGACAGACCTACTTGTTGAGTTGGTTTCCCAACTTGTCGAGTAGGTCACTAAACCTCGCGATCAAAATCAAGTTTACTCGACGAGTTGGGCCTCCAACTTGCCGAGTCCCAGAGCAAAACATGAAATTACTTGAATTTAAATACGTATAAGGAACCGGGTGTTACAGTATGATCTCTCGACTTAGCAGTAAGCTAAATATATTTGAATAGAATTCTGAGGAAGAAGGCAGCTACAACAACTGTATATGTTCAAGATGTGGCATAATAAATTATGGACTGAATTTATTTGTTTTTCAAAGTTTTGATATGTTTTTTTTTATTTTCTTTCTCAGGGCACCAACTGTTTGTTGAAAAGCTTATAATCCAGCACAAAAAATTATGTATTGAAAGTTTGGTTTTTGATGCCAAACTTATGTTTTTTTGCATATAAAATCCATGTGTGCTTTGATGCTAGTTAGTTTCCAAGTTTGTGCTTAAAAAAAAAAAAAAAAAAAAAAAAAAAAAAAAAAAAAAAAAAACTCTAAGACATTTATATGTACGGGTAAAAGAACAAAGATCTAAATCTTTGTTTTTTGTTGATGTTTTGTTCTCACTTTTGAAGTTTTGAATACTTAAAGTGACATGAGATGATGAATAATGATATGTAATAGGGGATAAGCGAGATTGGTATGGAATAAATGAGAGAAAATATTGTGGAATTGAAGCGGTTTGAAAGTGTCACCCCCTTGTAGATTTTTATTTTATCTTATTTTGATTGGATCTCACAAAATTCTATTGTGTTTAGTAGATATTTTAATTTTTCAATTATTTTTTATGTTTTAATCTTCAATTTTATGCAGGATACTAAGGATAATGATGCATACATCAACCTTTACAAGGGAAAGGTTTTACTTTTGTTAATGTTGCCTACAAATGGTAAGCATTCTTCATTATTCTCTCTTCAAATGTTCTTGGAACTCTTTTACATTGTCATGCCCTATCTTTATATCTTTTGTTGTTATTTATATTGCATTGTGATTTTAATTGTTTGTAATAATGGGCTTACAAATGAAAAGTATGGTGAATTATCATTAAGGTAAACTTACTCTTAATTTATGCTTTTACTTTTGTTGTAACATTAAAGTTACTTTTAAATTTGTTGCAGATCCATGTGACAAACCAAGTTGACGAGTCTTTGAAGGATTTCAACTCGGTTTTCATCTTAGGTCATGAGAAGATGTAAGATATTATATTACCTTCTCTTCATTTATTATTAGTTGATAGTTATGTTGGGAATTTACTATTATACTATTGAATCATACCTTCACAATGACATGACTAATTTTGGTTATACAAAGGTTTATAAGGATTACCAAGTAACAATCATTTTGTTGTTCTTAGCCAAAGACATTTGAAGCAAGCGTTGAAGCAACCCGAAAGGAGATTCAAAGTTCAACTGAAGTGGAGGTTGAACTAAAGCGGAGACTCAGCCAACAGATCGATCATTTGATTCAGAAACCAGCTCAAATCACTGCAACAACCTTTTAGCTGTTTTTTTTTTTTTTTTTTTTAAAGTGACTTGTAGTTTACCACTGAATCACCCACTTTACTGTCGACTATTAGAACTTCTAAATAATAATTTTTTATTCAAACATTTTTTTAAGGAAAAATATTGAGATTGATTTTTTTTTTTTTTTCAAATAATAAAGTATTTTTAAAAAAGAAGTGCGCACGTTAGAAATCCTAAATTGTATTATGAAAACACATGAGGGAAAAGGATTCCATCCATATTGATGGTCGACATTTAACAATTGACTTATTCTTTATTACAAAGATAAGGTGATATTTTATGTAAATCTAATGATTAGTCAGAAACCGGTCAAAATAAATGTTTGGATAGCAAAATTATACAAACCCCACCCACTGATTTCCTAATTTTAACAAAAATAAATAAATAAATAAATAGAAAATAAAAAATGTTGAAAAAGTTTCATAACATGTTAGTGAATTAATGCACTCTTTATCCTACCACTGCCTTCTCTATTTATAGTTCCCATTGGTACTTATCCTTCAAAAATGGCTTCCGCCGCCCTCACCTTCATTCTTATCTTCTCTATCTTCGCAGCCGCCGCTGCAATATGCCACCCAGACGACGAACAAGGCCTACTCTCATTCAAGTCCGGTATAACAGCTGACCCGTCCGGCATTCTCTCCTCCTGGAAACCAGCCACCGATTGCTGCAACTGGTCCGGTATCTCATGTCAAGCTCCCAACAATCGGGTCAACAGTATATCACTTTACGGCCAACGTGATAAACCCAACTCCTACTTGTCTGGTACCATATCATCTTCCCTCTCCAAGCTTCGTTTCCTCGACGGAATTTACTTCCAAGATACCCGGAATATATCGGGTCCTTTACCCGGCGTTCTGTTTAATCTACCCAATCTTCAGTATGTTTATATTGAAAACAACAAATTATCCGGCCGCTTACCGGAAAATCTCGGTAACCTGACCCGACTATTTGCACTCAGTTTAGAAGGCAATGGGTTTTCCGGGAGCATACCGAGTTCGATCTCCATGTTGACGGAGTTGTCGCAGCTCAAACTCGGCGGCAACCAGTTCACAGGGACGGTACCTGACGGAATCCGTCAGCTAAAGAGTTTATCGCTTCTAGCTCTAGACCGGAACAAACTTACCGGAAGCATACCGGATTTTTTTACTTCATTTTCAAACCTCCGGGTTCTTAGATTGTCGTATAACAGGTTTTCCGGTAACATTCCGGCGAGCATCTCGTCTCTGGCGCCGGTGCTTGCGTATCTGGAGTTGGGGCACAATTCACTAACCGGAAGGATCCCTGATTTTCTGGGAAACTTTCGCGCGCTAGATACGTTGGATTTGTCTTCGAACGGATTCTCGGGAACAGTACCAAAATCATTTGGGAATCTCACGAAGATTTTCAATCTCGATCTGTCGCGTAATAAACTGACAGATCCATTCCCTGTTCTGAATGTAAAAGGTATTGAATCGCTGGATTTGTCGTACAATGGTTTTCATCTGAAGCAGATACCGAAATGGGTGTCGTCGTCTCCAATCATATACTCTCTGAAGCTTGCAAAATGCGGGATCCAGATGAAATTAGATGATTGGAATCCATCGGAAACGTATTTCTACGACTACATCGATCTATCAGAGAATAATATCACGGGGAGTCCTGTGAAGCTGTTGAATCGAACTAATTATTTGGTGGGTTTTTGGGCTTCAGGGAATCAATTGAAGTTCAATCTGGAAAGTTTGAAGTTTCCGACGACGTTGAAGACGTTGGATTTGTCGAGGAATTTGATGATCGGAAAGGTTCCTAAGGCGGTTACAGGATTGCAGTCATTGAATGTTAGTCATAATGGGCTGTGTGGGAGTCTGCCGCCGACCAAGTTTCCGTCGACCTCATTTGTCGGCAATGCTTGTCTTTGTGGTCCTCCATTAGCAGCATGTAAGGTTTAAGATTTTGTACCATGTTATAGGTTAAAATAAGTTCGTTGCTGGTTTCTTTTACTTAAATACTTCAACGAAATAAGTGGACTAATTTTTAATTCTAAAAGATGGTTATTGAAGCTTAGAATATCGGAGAGGTTAGTTAATATGTTCATATAATGTGTTATACGTTCTTTTATACTAAACCCTATATGAATTGCATGGCAAGGTTGTTTTATAATCAATGACGAATGCGATTGTCAATTCTAAACACATAAATTGTTGATTATCATCATTAGTGATGACTATGCATCTGTAATATCGAATTCCAACCGATGTATCTAATCTATGTGGTGTTCCATTAAAGAATTGGGGGATGGTCTAAAATAACTCAATGTTTTTCTCTAGGGACACAAAATTCTATGGACAAATTCTACCTTTCAGAACAAGTTCTATAAACTTCTAAGATCTTGAATAAGACTCCATTTCAAAATTATTCTAATAAAATGATCCTTTTATTAAGTTAAAGCTAGGTGCCTAGGCACTACAAGTTTTGAGCTAATTGTTATTTTTAGTCGCTATTTCAACATTTTCTAATTAAGGTCCAAATAATTTATCACATCCACGAATATTAATAAATACTAGTTTAGTACTTTAGTTTAATATTTGTAAATATTCTCAATAAATTATTTACTCCAAATCTTTACCTCAAGCTAAGTTTGAGGAACTTCGAACATAGATAGGAAATTAGGAATTGATGCTTTTGAATCAAAAAGGAATATTGAATGATTCAAAGTATTTCCACAAAGTTAGGATGGTCAATAAGAGTAACTCAATTAATAGATATTATTCCTCGATTTCAGCTATTTCTGTTTAGATTTCAATGTCTTCATTTCGTTCTTGTAAGCCAGTCTTCAGTTGATAAAGGATCAATCAATGTTTTAAAAACCGGTTTTTTAGTTGAACCAGTATGGTGACCGGTTCCTGGTTTAACCGGTTCGACCACCGGGTGAACCGGTTTTTATATATTTTATGTATTTTTCTATTTTTCTACACATACATACATATAAAAATTATGAATTTGATGTCTACAAGTTCAAGCATTAAAACTACACATAAAAATAAGTTTAATACATAATCATAAGTTTAGTGTTTTACATCCATTCATATACGTAAAAAAAATATATATAATACCGAAACGAAATATAGTTTTTGATGAATACAAACACATCAAAAAAATTTATAACATTTATAATATGTTTTTTTTTAAAGAAAACTAAAAAGATTTGAAAACAATCACCAAAGTTTATTATGTAAATGGTTCTTTTTCATTTGTTTTTTATTCGGTTCAACCGGTTTATTTTGACCGGTTCAACCGATTTTTCTAAAAATCAGTCGGTTCAATCCGATTTAGAAATCAATGTAAATCCGGTGATAGTTGAACCGCTCTCTCTCCCGATTTCCGGTCCAACCGTTTCGACCGGCCGGTTCAACCGGTTTTTAAAACATTGGGATCAATCATTCAACATACGCTTTTTTTTTTCGTAATTTTACCAACATTGTCGGTGTTCATGAATTTTAAATTAGGGAGTCCAAGCAGAAGTTAACGGTGATGATCGTTCAAAAAAAATGCCATTGTTTCTTGTTGGGTCTTTGATGAAGATGAACATCATCAGTTGCTTCCATAACATTTGATTAGGGTTTTGTAAGCAAAAACAAATTAAAACTTACACAAGGAACTCTTTCTATTTTTTGTTTAAATAGTAATGATAACAATAACAATAATTTAAAGTTTATGAAATTAAAACTAAATAGAAAATTCCACATAAGATATTAAACCGTGGCAATTTTTTTTTTTTTTTTGACACGTGCCATATTTTTTAACGAAAATTCTAATCTATTCTTAACTAGGTGTAACAACCATATAAAGGTCTAAATATTTAAAAAATTTTGATTTATAAGAAAATAAAAACAAATAATGAATTATCAAAATTGATTTTTTTATCTTTTAAATTTAAATAAACAAACAAAATAAACAAATGAGCTTTAATTTAGAAATTTAGAAATAAAAAGGTAAGTCCATTAATAAAATTGATATTCATTTATTACTATATTTTTGTAATTATTACATTAAAGAATTATGTGGAATTTATTAAAATAGAAAAACTCTTAAATTGACATGTGAAAATAATTTAATTTAAAATACTCACAAAATGACATTTGACAAATTGAATGAGAATATGACATGTGGTAAAAAAAAAAAAAAAAAATTCATTTATTAGAATAGATTGCACATATGTCGACTTGAACCCTCATAGATGGAAGACAACATATGATATCCTTGGACTAAAAGTTTTTTTTGATACTTGCCAAAGATTGGTTCAAAACAGAACTAGATTATATGAGCAAACTACCAAACTCAATTTTAATTGTTGATGAAAGTCACTTGGTCAAATAATTTGATTCTACTTTTCAAAATACCTTAAAGTCCATTTCTTCAAGTAGATATGCCAACCCATGAGCAATGTCTTGATCCATTTTTAGTCTCATGGCCCAAGAGAGAGGTGTTTTGGAACTTGTAGATAAATGATCCTTTAAGTTTCCATTAGGCGTATATTCATAGACTAAAAGTCAATGAGTTTATCTTTTGACATCCTCCACACAGTATCCAACTAGTTTGACAGTGTTTGGATGCTCAACCGCCCCAACAGGCAACAACATTACCTTCGTTGCCCACTCTATGTGCTCCTGTGTCAACATCAACAACAAAACTCATAGGCAATTACACAAAGCAATAACTTTTTATCATTAAAAACGGTATTAGTTATTATTTATCTGTAATTTACACTAAAACGATGGGTTAAAATGTTGATTTATCACTTCCTGGGGAAGAAATATAATCTTTGTAAAGTGTAAAGGCTATTTAATGACTTCCAATTTACACCCGACACAATTGAAGAAAAATCACAACTTTGATTTCATTTTTTCTTTAATTCTCATGCATTTCTACTTGGTTCTTCACACAACCACCCATTGAAAGATCTAAAAAGCGTTTTGGCTCAACCATCAGATTCAATTTGCGTATTAGAAAGTGGAAAGTTAAAGAAGGCGAACATGCCTGCAATACGCCATTGACGTACTTCACAGCCATAGAGCTACTTGAATCTCATTAAAAGGATCTCCCAAACTCTTTATCACACCCTTATATATGCTTTCAGATCACCCTCTTCGATCTTCCAATCCATACAAAAGTAATTAGTTGCTTCCTTGAGCTCATCGACTGTAAAAACTCTCAAATTGCTTGGTTTCTGGAACACGCTTCTAGTCGAAGTTGATTGTGTTTGATCTCTGGTATCCTTTTGGATCTCTTGATTGTCTTCTTCGAACAAAGAAGGAGAAACTATTGGATTAGTGTATAAGTCCATAACTCGTTTGGTATGTACTTGACCCGATTATGAGCATGGTCCTTTTGGGTTGCCTTCACCATAGCAATATATAGGATGAACTAAGGAGAGAAAGGATTAATTATGATTTATTAATATATTATAAGAATAATATATTAAAGGAGAAGTCATATTGTTTAATTAATATTAGTCAAGAATTAATTGATAATTAATTTTGTGGCTAAAAGAGATTAATTAAATATAGGGGTCTGGATTGCAATTATTGGATAATTGAGTTATTGGGCTAAGGAATGCTAAAGGAACAAGGGGTGAACGAAATTATGATGGGAGCCTATCATATTTTCATCCATGGCCTTATCCCAAAAGGTTCCATGGGTTGCTTAGAGTTTAAGTTGTCCATTAGGGTTTTGACTGAAACCCTAACAGCCTACACAAGTATATAAAGGACCCTTTAGGCCCCAAAAACATGGCTAACTGATTCCTTAGGGTTTCTAGACGTTTTTGGGTGCCTCCTCTCTTCTCCTTCTTCATCTAGTTGGTTAGTGGTGTTTGTGACTCCATTAGAGGTGCAACACTTAAGGCACTAAACTTTCTGAAGCCAAGGATTGATTGTTATTTCTATATAACAATCAAAGGTTAGATCTAAGCCCTATTTTATGTTAATATGATTAATTGTATGCTAGATCTAGGGTTTATAGCTTTTGATATTCAATTGCATGTTCATTAGACAAACTAGATCCAAAAGTTATTAGGGTTTGCATGTACACCATAGGAATGATGTATTGCTCGAAACCCATCAATGATATCAGAGCCTAGGGTTGTTTGTTAGTGAATTTGATGCTTATTTGAATGAAAAATTGAAATTTTCGACTTTTTGGGGCTGGACTCGCCGAGTCCATTGGGTACTCGACGAGTCCAGTGCTGACTCGACAAGTCAGCGAGTCTGACAGCTATATTTCACGATTTTCTTCCTGTTTTGGCTGTAGATAATTACCTAAAATGTTTTATATTAATAAAATCCAATTTTTATCAATATTTGGAGTTTATCCTTGCCAAAATTGAAGATAATTGTCAAATTTAGATAATCTTTTGTTTTATTAGATAAATATTGATTATTTGTAATTTAGATTTGAATTATCTTGTGAAAAAGTTTCAATTTCACCCTTTAGGTTTTATAGTTTAAATTTGAACTTAAAAGTTTTGTTTTTGAAATTTAAATAAGTTAAACCCTAATGTTTTGAAATGTTTCAAAACTTGTCATCAAGTTTTGGATTTTAAAATTAATTAAAAGTCTTAATTTGAAATTTTAAATTCTAAAACCCAAGTATTTTAAAAAGTTCAAATTACACCCTTATGGTTTTATTAATTAATTAAGGTGTATAATTAAAAGAGATTTAATAAACCCATAAAGTTTTGGTTTACATTTAATTAAATTAAAAGTATAATTTATTAAATTTGACCACCTAGTATTTTAAAAAAGTGTAAAATACAACCTATACTATATATAACATTAAAAGTCTAATATTATATATATGTATGAGTAAGAAGTCAGTGTTACCGTTAGTAGGCCTCATTCATGAAGCTGGTCTATAAGGGATGTTTAAGGAAATTGCCTATAAAATGGCGATTGAATGGGTATCCACTCTTACCCACCGCACTCTTAACTAGTGGAGGGTCGTTAGCCGAATGGGTAGGATAGGAAGAAACATTCCATTATAAGTATAATGAAGTACAAAGTAACTAAATGCTTTTACAAATTCCCAAATCATAGTCACTTTAGGAACAATGTGAAATTGTATGCTAATCCATGGAATTACACTTCGTACCCTTGTCAAACGTTAGTGGAGCATGTGTGGTTAACCAACACATTGATTAGTTGATAATAGCATTGAGTGCACCACGTAGATTCGTACGGTTATTCACACCTTATTTGTGATCCTCGGCATCCCAGTCACAAATTGAAGGGCATAATCGAGATTAAACATGCCATAGAAAAGTTCAATGAATCTCAAAAGATCTAGGAGTTTCAATTCATTTAAAACTTAAAGTTCATTTTTGTTTTTCATGGTGGAAATTGGTAAATCGCATTTACCTACCTTCGAATATTCTGCAACTAGATTACGACATCCCTCTTCTAGGTTATAGAATATTATGTTGGACCCTAGCCTTGATGCTTCATTTGGGTGTTACATCAAGGATTCTTATCAACTAACTTGAATTTTCTCCCATTTTCTAGATGTTTGAATCTAACAATGGTCTTCCCAAATCCCATGGAACAAGTTTTCCAAATGAAGATGATATTCCACGATATGATCAAGGAACCAGAGATCATGCTTCACTTCCTCCACCTCCTCCAATTGTTCTCCCTGACCCACAAGTTCGAAGGCTTGTAAAGTTCAATCTAACTCAAGCCCTTTTGGTAAGTAAACACGAAGATGGGAAACTTGTGTGTGCACACGTCTTAGAGATGAAGTCACACATTAATAGGTTAAGTATGATGGGTGTCGATATCTCAGAGATGTTGGTTGTTGACTGGGTTCTTTAGTAACTTCCTGAATCATATAGTGAGTTCGTCAGAGAGTACTATATGATGGACCACGACGTGACCCTCATTGATCTCACCTATTTGCTTATAACTGTTGAATCAACAATGATTTGGCGTGTCGGTCAAGCAAATTTGTCTGGTGAATCAAACTCCCAAACTTCAATGGACACTGGAAACATTGGATGTCCAGAAAGGACTAAGTATGAGATTGTCCCATGTGTTGTGCCAAAGGAGTCCATTTTCTTTTATTGCCAAGAGAAGCGACATTGGAGACGAAGCTGCCCTATTTACCTGAGAGATCTAAGAGATGGGAGAGTCAAGACGTATGGCCCTACTTCAGGTAAAATCCAATATCTAACTCTTTTGAGTTCCTATTATAGATTCTTAATACATGATGTGATAAGATTACATTTTGATGTTTTGTAGGATCGAAGAAAAGAGAGGAAGCTTAAGGGAAGAAGTGAGCTGAATCTAATCGTGAAGAAAAATGGATTTCGATCGCATTGTTTGAAGATTGGATTTTTGAGCTACTACTTGGAGTTAGAATAGATTGCTTAGGAATATGTAATAGCGTAGTTTTTCAGTTGAATTGCATTGTAAGGACAAAGTTTTTCCGCAATAAAATAAAATTTGATTTTATCTTATTTATTTATCATTGCAATGGCATGTATGAAAAAATTGATGTTTGAATGTTTCTACTATTAGCAAAAATGGATTTGATTCTTAATTAGGTTATTTGTGGAAATGTCGAGAATTTACCAAATAGAGAGAGTTTCTCATCGCCCAAGTTTCAATTGGACAGAAACTTGGAATCATCGCCCATGTTTCAACTAGGATATAAACTTCATATTTGGAAATTAGACTAATTCTTTGACAAAGTGTCAACTGAAGGACTAGGAGATCGAGTAGACTAGGTCGTACATTGATCAAGTCTACCACAAGAGTGACAAAGATATTCGTCATGATTTACTATAGTTTAGTAAACATGGTTATACTTATAAGATTGAGTGTAATTTTGAGTTGATTGAACGGGTTTCAATCAATAACAGAACGAATAAAAAGAATCTAGTAGGCAGATTGATGAAAGTTTCTTTATTCTTAGAAGAAGGGAGAGTAACTTTTATTGCGTTTTATGATAGGTATTAATGATTAAGAACCATGTCTCAATTGATCCTATAAGTGAGTCTTAGTGTAATTGCATGTCTAAGAAGAGGAATCGAGAATTGTAGAAATGGTTAAATTAAGAAGTCAATCACACTTCGTTCCAATATCGAATCTTAGAGTCATACTCCAGGATTGCGAATTGAGTGACACGTCTTTAGTAGGTTTATAACACTCAACAAATGTGGAATTTGGAAAAGTTTTCTTATTCTTGCTCATATGAAATTGGTAAGTTGTGCTGTCTTCGATAAGACAAAGACCAACTAGGACCAATTATGTGAAGTGTTTTGTCTTGATAAGAACTACACTAACTCTTGAATATTTGTTTTGTCTAGGAAAATTTCCTGACAACAGAATCATATATGTCAAGAGGTCATTAGGAGTTTTAATGATCTTGAAAAAGGTTTCAAGAACAAATCAAGAATAAACCTTATCGATCATCATTAACACATGACTTGAGGTTTACAACCTATCGTGTTAACATTATTTTGTTTCTGTGTCACTCCAATTGAGTGAATTATGTATGGGAGTTCTATGAGTTCTCATTTGAATGTATAAAGACAAAGCGCCTTGATTAATGGAAAGTACATTGATATGTAAGGATAAGTTGCTAAACTACTTGGAATACATGGTGGGCACTCGTGTTACCATAAGGCTAGAAATCAAGAAAGTTCAATCCATATGAGTTTGGATTTGTCACAAATTTGGTTTTGGAAAATTCACATGGATACACTACTAGAAAAACAACCTTTTATGACGCTCATTGCGCGTCGTAAAAGGCTCAGACGACGCGCAAATGCGCATCAAGGAAGGCCCTGTCATAAAGAGAGACGACGCACATTTACGACGCTCATTTGCGACGTGCAATTACGACGCGCGTTTACGACACGCAATGCGTATCAAGGAAGGCCCTGTCATAAAGGAAGACGACATGCATTCGCGTGTCGTAACATTACGACGCGCGTGTTAATGACACACAATGCGTATCATTAAAACACATGTCAAGAAAGGCCATGTCATTAATGAAGATGACATACATTTGTGCGTATCGTAAATTTAAATGTTTAAAAAATATATTTATATATTTATTAATTTTTAAATCAAATTTGCATTTACCGTCTCATAATAGAAATAAAATACCATATAAAAAAATACAATCCATTGCATAAAATTTAATGTCATACAATTCTATTTCTTACAATATATAATGTTACAATAAAAAAAATAAAGAAAGTAAATTGCTATTTTGAACATGTGAAGCATTATAACAACCTGCTCTGTGACAATTCCTTTGACCTGTCTACCAAGAATTGCACGTGACTTGATGCCTCTTTCAGATTGTGGTGCTTTGTCATCAGCAGCCTCCTGACCCAAATAAAAAATATATAAAAAAAATGGAAGTCAGAAAAGATGACATCAGCGAGTGAGGTTTTATTATGTTAAAAAAAATGGAAGTCAGAAAAACTGTAAGCATGGTGACATATTTCACATAAAATGTTAATTTAGTGACTTAATAGGCAATAAAAATAGTTTTTTAGCCAAATTAATGAAAATGAGACATTTGGTTGCTATACTACCAGTCAAGTAATCCAAGATAAAAAGAGTTAACATCAATTTGACCTAGCAGCCTTGGCAACCAGGAGAAATTGATCATTAAACATTCCTAGAGAATAGAAGTAGCTTTCTCAATTGCTTAGAGCGTGACCCTCATTCACCTTCAAGATTTGCATTGTCACATGTAAGGTCATCACCTGTGAAATTGATCATTAAACATTAGACATCGCTTGAATTCTAAACTGAACCATTAACAATTTAATATGATCCAAACTATGCATGAAGTATCATGTGACTTGTGTTCAACCAAACCATTAATCAATCAATACATGACACTCTACAAGTACCACAAAATATAGAATTCAAGTGCATGTCGAGTGTCGACATTTAATCATTCATATGACCTGGAAAATAATTATAATAAAATTGTGCATGAAGTTTCCATATCCACACTCAGAAAGGAAAAAAGCAGAAAAATAATGTGACATCCCCAAAATCTCGGCCAAAAAAGACCGATTTTCATTTATGCTTTTAAAATAATTTCAGAGTAAATCCTTTTGATTTGAAAGAGTTGCGGAATTTGTTCCCAAAAACAAAACATGATAAAACAATGTTTACCAAAGCATTTCATAAAAGAAATGTATTTTCATTATATAATCAAAACTCGGGGTGTCATGTTCCGATACAGACCAATAAGCATAAACGATAACATTACAAGTCATTCAACAAATATATACATATACAGACTTGTAACAAAACAACTTGATGGTTCATCCATCTCACGCCCTTGCGCCACTTCCTGTAATACAAATAAAACTGAGTGGGTCAGGCTTGGGAGCCTGGTGAGCATATAGGGTTTTCAACCCACAATAAGTAATTAAATTAATTTTCATCAACCAACAATAACCCAATTACCCATTCCCGTTATTCTCACTTTATGTCCCTAAAATAACTAACACAAGGGACCTAGTTTAAGAATATTTCATCGGGGTGACAACACATGCTTCGGGGGTTCCTCAGCAATATAAGTCAAATAAGGCAACCATGAGGGGGGATGGAATACAGCGAATGAACACCCAAGTTCATTAACACCTATAGGTTATGAGCCTGCTAGCGTTCCATGGGACTGTCTAGAAAAGTCCGTGGTCATTATCTAAATTCCGCTAGATGACTGGATCAAAACAACATCGAGGTCTCTCATCTGTTTATTACACACCAACTATCTACCCATGTTCTACCCAACATATTAGTAGATAAAAACATACATTTTTATACATAGTTTCAAAACATGTATAGCATGCTCGATCAATACATTTTCCATATAACAGATGAGGCACACACACATAACACGTATTTCATATAGAAATACTCAGATATGTAAGATAGAAGAAAGTGAATATGCATTCACACACATAACAACAAAATATACACATAACACGTATTTCGTATAAAATACTTCATAATTATGCGTTAGAAGTAAGTAACAACACATTCACACATATAAACAACAATATACTTAATACACTCAAATCATACTTGTATTATTATCGTGTTTATGAAAGATAGTATACACTCACTTGATCAGAAGACGATCGGACAGCACTACGACTTGCAAAAGTAGTAATCCTCAGCAGATCTGGAAGATCTCTACAAAAATCGAACTTCTCGCGGGCAGAGCTTCGGCTCGGAAACCGCACTTCTCGGGATCTTCAGGATCTCGAGACTTGCTTCGGGACTTGCGAATATTACCGGGGCTTCGGGGTGGCTTCGGGGGTTAAAATGCAGAGCTTCGGCACGAAATGGAGGAGAAATGAGCAAATAAGTCCGGACCCCTCGCATCCTATTTATAGGAGGCTGAGGCCTCGCAGTACGCGGGGCGTACTGCTCCAAAATCGTTACTGCATGCGTCATCCGAAGTCCTCGAGTGCGAGTGTCGACATTCTTCGCTGTACGCAGGGCCTACACGAGTACGTGAGCGTACTTCGGATGAGTCCGGTGACTCGTCCTCGGATAATACCGAATTTAATAATTAAATTTAATTATTAATTATTTAATAAACTTCGAAAATTCATATCTTCTTCATATGAACTCCGTTTTTGACGTTCTTTATATCCATGCGAAGGTGAGACTACGCTCTACAACTCTCATTTAGACTCCGTCGGCTAATTTTGACTTTATTTTTATTATTTATTTTTAATAGGCCGGGACAGAAAATTTCGTTATAAATTCATAACTTCTTCGTTTGACGTCCGTTCTCGCCTAACTTTTTATCGCTTCGATACTAACAACGAGATCTTCGATTCTCGTTTAGATTACTAAGGCTAAATATCGCTCTAACGTAAATTTCACTTTTTACGTCATTCAGCGTTGCCGGTTCTGTCGCGAAACTTCAACAGGTCATAACTTCTTCGTTATAACTCGGATTTCGGCATTCTTTATATATTCGGAAACCTTGTTTCAACTACTACAACATTGTCTAAAGATATCAAGTTTATTTTACACTTAAATTTTGACGCTTATTTTTATTCTTAATTAATCAAACCATATAATTAAGCAATTAAGCACAAAACACATAATACTCAAATAATATACACTTCTATTATTTCAAAACGGGTTACAAAGGTTAACCTAGACTATTACATTGCTAAAAATGGCAAGCCCAGAAACACAGACATTATAAATAATAACAAACTTATCTCCTCAAATGGGTAAAATTGAGTTACCAAATTTAGTAATCTCAACAAAAAAAAAAAAAAAAAAAAAAAAAAAAAAAAAAAACCTGGACTTCTTGTACTAGTAGCATCGTCATGATTCAAAGGAAAACGAAGTTGCAACACAAATTCTGGACCATTGCATGTATTCAGATTTGCAATTGCTACCTCTCCACCTGTAATTTCTTGTAGATTGTCGCCATTAACCTACAAATACAATTCTCATTATATAGGTAAATATTATTCTACCTAATAAATGAGAATAAATTTGCCACTTGTCCTATTCTCCTTCAATTTGCCACATGTCATTTAGTAGGTATTTTTAATTTATTTTTTTTTTACACTTGTCATTTTATGGTAATTTTCTTTTTCATTTAATTGCCACATCATTAAAGATGTTGGAGAAGAGCAAGTTCTTTGTAAAGGCAAAGTGATGTGTCTTTTTTTTTTGTTGAGAAAATGAATAAATGTGAGAACAATGAAGACGTTATCATGCAAAAATTATAACAAGCACATATGGAGTTGTTTGAAATTTTGTGCTCATGCTTGATGCATATTTATATGTATGACACAACTAAGCAATGCTTAATTTTAAAGGAAACATGTAAAGTTGTAAACGAAACACAAAATTTTCAGATTTTTTGAATGATAGGAATGATAGAGCAACCGTTTTATTTTTCATATAAGTTGTACCTTCATGTAGATTTTGATCATTTAAATGTGATTTTTATGTCTTCGGTTTTTTATCTTCCTTTTATAAATTAGTAAGCATTTTAATGATTGTTAATCACCAATATTGGGTTGATTAAAAAATTTATAACCAAATAAAAAATTTAGTTACTTTATAAAGGGTTTCTTTAAAATGGGCTAATTTTTTTTAAGTTAGTTTTTGAATTTAAATATTTAATTTGCAAGTTTTCATACATTTTCTATCCCATAATAGCACTCAAGTTCCACTACCCGTGTGGACAATGTACTATAGTTCCATATTTCTTTCGTCAGTAGAGAAATATAAATAGTTATTTTAGCTCTCATTTTCTATATTCAAAAAAATAGAAGGTTTATTTTTTATACTCTTAAAAATCCAAATATAAAGGTTGCTTTGGTTTTTCTTTGTTTTAAGCATTTATTTTCGCAAAAACTTTGTATATATTTAAAAATGTTTAACATTTACAATCTTTATATTTAACTTTTGTTTTAATCAATTATAATCAGATACGTTCAAATTGGGATCATATTCTTTGAGAAGAGATGATAGTTACCTTTGTGAAACTACCACCTGGAGCTAACTGAAGTTCATCCTTCACTCGAAGGCTACCATATGTCTAGATTGCAATGCAAAATAAGGAAACAAACACTAGATAATATATAACAGAACAGATAAATAGATAACAATAGCAAAAAAGAGTTTGATTACCCTCCATGTTCGCTTTGATCCTGAACCAGAACCACTAACAAGAGCTTCTCTCTCAAGATGTAACATATAACCCTTTTTGGAATCCTTTGTCTTAGAGAAAACCTTTGTGTACCTACAATAAGATAGCAACTAGATATGTCAAATACGAAAATTGATTAAACAAGAATGAAAAATGTCATTATGCCTTCACAACATTAAAATTAAGAAGAATAAATTAAATTAGAAAAAAAAAAAGTAAGAATGGTGGTATATACTTGATGCAGTTGTCATGAATACCAGCACGAGATTTATCATTGTTGGTTCCCTATTTTGAGCTTCGATAGAACTTCCCAAATGCTTCTATTAGCTGCAAATAAGAAACAATATAATAAAGGGCTTTTGGTTGGTTTATATGAATGCATGCAATCTATAAAAGGAATTGTAAAATACAGGGGACTTACAGCAGTGTGTACAGAGCTCGAGACCTTGAAACTGGAAAGATTGTTGCTTTAAAGAAGGTAAGGTTCACTAAATGAGGTACACTAAATGACCATCTTACCCTTACTTTCCAAAAGACAAATTTCACAATACTCATCAATTTTGACTTGAAAGGATAAAAAAGAAGGGAAAATAGGTTTTATCCAAGTTATAAAATCTGAAGTATTTAGACACAAATCTATTGTTATACCATAGGTTGAAATTTGAAAAAAAATAAAATCATACCATCTGCATTCTGTGGATTCAATAGAATCTGCAAGTATACCTGATATTCTTCTCCATTTATGACAATCATCAGAACACACCCAAGCACTTATTCTTCTTCTTCCAACATCTGCAGATAATAAATCTAACATTGGCTTCTTTCCAGAAGCTCTTTTGCTCTTTCTTGCAACCAATTTGGTATCAGTTTTTTGATTCATTGTAACCTTTCGGGTACTTCTCCAAGTTGATGAACATTTGATATTTTGCACATAGTTATAATCTCTCACTTCGGAGGATTCAGTTAAGACAATATAGGTAAAAGGGTCAACAAGGGGACCAGTATTTGGTTCATCTACATTGTGAGAAGGGTCATTGTCAGTAACTGATAAGGGCTCACATGATTCTAAGTAAACTGATAATGTATCAGTTAAATAATCCGACTGCATAGTAGATACAAGTTCATTAAAGTCACATGGGTGTCTTCTGCATCTTCTGGAAATATCTCAGAATCTTGATTTACCATCAATGATCTGTGAATAATGTTAAAACCCTTCAATTGGTTCAAGAAAGAATGACCCCATTTTGTTGTTGTTCACCATTCACTTTTGTTTGAAAATAAAAGTTGTAGTAATTTAGACCATGAGAAATCATATTCATTGCAAGTAGAGACAGATACATAACAGATACATGTATAAGAAAGTTTACACAACAAGATTGTACGATTTACAATATTTTCAAGCCCTAATTGATAAATAAAACTGTAGAAAAATGCCAAAATCAAGTATCAAGATTATTATGCTTAACTATTAAAATGAAATTGATAAAGGGTTCTCTAAAATCGAAGCAAAGACAAAAACTAGCCAAAATAAACACACAAACCTGTCAAATGAAGTCATGCCACTATCAATTTGATAGGAGTCAGAATTGCAGGCATCATGACGTCATCGATTGGCGGTGCTCATGGATGGTCTGGTGGTCGGACGGAGAGAATAGAGATGAAGGAGGGTAGGAAGCGATATCTATTGTTTGAGTGTGAGAGAGAACCGTTATTGCATCGTCGATGATCAGATTTCATTAGACACACTCCAAACTCAACCTGAATTTGGATCCTTCAAAGGCACCAGTGGGAGGTACATGTTTACCCTAGATCCTGAACTCCCACCGGATTTCTTCCCGGAATTCATGCTTTTCCATGGGTCGAAATTCTTCCCTTTGCCACTCTGATTACGCAGACGTACCTGCGAGAGTCGGTCCTCAAAAATTTCAGTCTCAAGTGATTCTGAGGTGGGACCACCGGTAGAGGAAGAATCATCGAGCGTTTCTTTTGTTTTGAAGGAGAAGGTTAGGGGCAGCGGTGCATGGGATCTGAGTGGGGACAGAGGGATTGGTGTTCCGATCTTGAACTGGTATCTTGAGATGGAGAAAGTGTGTGCTTAGGTTTCTAGATGCACTCCAAACTCTTAAAGCTTATAGGGTTCGATGTTGGTGGTGGCAGCTTAGGGCTTAGAGAGAGAGAGAGAGAGAGAGAGTACAGAGGTAAAGGAAGATGAGTCGATTCAAAAGGGTTATTAGGGTTCTATTGTAGGATTCAGTGTGGATTGAGTTTTTAAGGCTCAATGGCGGTGGCAGTGGCGCTGGCTTAGGGTTTACAGAGAGGGAAGGAGTGAATGAAAAGGGAAATACTGAGGAGAGAGGGTAGAAGCGGGGTTCTTCAAAATTTTAGAATTTCAGATGATTTCGTTTTCCCCCTTTAAAAACACGCGTTTATGAAAAAATATAAAGCGACACATTTAGAGGACGCACACTTTATGAAAGGCGCCCTCCGCATTTCTTTTTTTTTCTTTTCTTATACTAATTTTAGGGCACGCACAAATGCACATCCACTATCCTTCAAATTTTGCAAAATTGACATTATTTTTTAGGGCACACACCAATGCGCATCCTCTATCAGCAAGTGTCATTGTTTGCGCGTCATTAAAGGGTTGTTTTCTAGTAGTGATAGGAACACATACACCATAAAATCTAATTTTCATAAGATTCCCTCCTTCATGAAAATAACTGTGAGGAAATGCTTTCACTAAGAGAGATTTTAAGAAGATAGCAATTGTGAAAATTGTGTTCTCAAATTCGATTATGGTTATGGAATCCCTTTCTATAGTTCGAATTGTGAGATTTGGCAATTAGTGTAACATTTGGGACTTATTGATATAAGTTCTGAATTAGTTAAGACACACGTATGAGCTATCTAGGGAAAAGGTGTATAAGTTTAAGAAGCTTAGATAAAGGCTTATCGAAGCATCTGGTATTAGTAATATGAACTTCAGAAATTCAATAGGTATTGTTTTCTGGAAGTTCAGCTGTTTTCTGAATACATGTTAAAGCTAGTGGGAGCATAAGTGTTATGCTTATATGATAATAATCATCATGATAGTGGGAGAACAAGTGTTATGGCAAGTATTTCAAGTTAGCAATATTAATTATAGAAAACAAAGATTCAATTTGCAAAGTTGCATAGGTTGAAATGTTGTTTTGCTATAATTAAGGGAGAGAATATTATACTTCGTTTCAAAATCTAAAGCTTAGATTGAGAAATTTTAATAAATTTAGTCAAAGGATACATAATATGTTGTTAAATTTCGATTATGATTACGACATCCCTCTTCATAGTTCGAATTGTGAGAACGTGACACATAAAAATATTATGGCAAAAGATTGATAAAGTATCATATCTTTATGTAAGACATTATGCATCGTGTCCCATATGCTTCGGGTATAGGATCGATTGCAAATGCTATAATATTTGATCATTCCAGAATTTTCCAAATGTCTAGCGCATTAAGAGGGAAAAAGGACCAGAATCGGTTTTAACTAAAATAATTAAACAACTATCAAAGGACGATCCAAAGTTCGCTAAGAATTGGTCGCTTGTGAGTGGTTGGAAGTATGGTATTGGATGGACCATATCGACATTTTTATAAATAGATAAGATTCTATTAGGAATGAGTTGTCATATGGCAAATATGGAAATGTTTCCATATTGGGAGTTGGATATTGAGATTCTATGTCTAGATTAGAAAATTTTATGCGAGAAGGATGTTCAAAGGAATGTACTTTGAATGTGAGACTTCACGTCTATGGAATTGTCTTGTAACAATTTCCGATAGAGTACTTTGTAATTTCATTGGCCAAGTCTTGGTGACTTTTGTGCTATGACTTTGCGAAAGGATCGTTGCATAAAATGTTATAATCTAGCATATTCTAGTAGTGGCAAGAACCTTGTGTTCTAACACTAATGATAAGAATTGGGAATTGTGAAATGAGCATCATTGAAAAAGTTTTTCAATTGATCTATTTCACAAAGTAAGGACCATAGGAAACATAGTGTGCATGCTTTGTACATGGGACAGCTATTGTTGTAATTTGAGTAATAAGTTGATTTTCGGAAACAGTAAACAATGAATAATGAGTAATCAATCTGGTGTTTAAACAAAAGTGTTTTATTTACTCCCACAAGTTTGGGGCCATATAGGATTAAGTATTATTGTTGTGTTTCAGTTTGCATGTTTTGAGTTCCAGAATAACTGGGTTATTCGAACCTCCACAGTCGGTCATATGTTGGAAGTAGGTATGAAGGAAGACTGTTATGAAGAGTCTGTAGATTGTCTAAAGAGTTTAGACATAGCACAAGTTTGCTGCAGGGTTCATGAGTGCATTGATAATATTGGAGTATTGGATTAAACCCACACTCACAAGAATCACTTCATGGTTTTTCATCATGAGTGATTGTGAGATGATAACATTGTATATTCTTGAAACCGAGACGTGTGAGTTGTAGTTACAATTCAGTTGCACATTGATCATATGTAAACGCACCAGTAACTTGGTGTTATAAAACATATTGTTGTGTGTGATTTTATGAGTAAGAGCAAGCGAGCATTTGAGTCAAAGTTTATCCATTCCTTTTACCCAAAGTGGGATAAAAGCGATATTTGTTGGCCCCTCGATGATTTAGTGATGACACCCTAAGTGCTTGGCCAAGCCGAGACTAAGTTGATGTGTTTAATTGTAGTCTGTTGTAAGTCATCATAAATCGGAAGTCAGGAAACAGTATAGAGAGAATGATTAAAATTCATGTCTTATGTGTATACGATATCTTGAGAATGGAGGAATATATGATCCCTTATCTAAAGGACACACATATCTGATAAGATCAGAGTTGACAGCGGCTTTTGAAAGCTACGATTGCTGATCAGGTTCTAAAGTTATGAAAAATAGTTATTAGACTTATCCAAGTGGGAGACTATTGGATTAGTGTCTAAGTCCATAACTCGTTTGGAATGTACTTGACCCGATTATGAGCATGGTCCTTTTGGGTTGCCTTCACCATAACAATATGTAGGATGAATTAAGGAGAGAAAGGATTAATTATGATTTGTTAATATATTATAAGAATAATATATTAAAAGAGAAATCATATTGTTTAATTAATATTAGTCAAGAACTAATTGATAATTAATTTTATGGCTAAAAGAGATTAATTAATATAGGGGACTGGACTGCAATTATTGGATAATTAAGTTATTGGGCTAAGGAATGCTAAAGGAACAAGGGGTGAACGAAATTATGATGGGAGCCCATCATATTTTCGTCCATGGCCTTATCCCAAAAGGTTCCATGGGCTGCTTAGAGTTTAAGCTGTCCATTAGGGTTTTGACTGAAACCCTAGCAGCCCACACAAGTATATAAAGGACCCCTTAGGCCCCAAAAACGTAGCTAGCAGATTCCTTAGTGTTTCTAGACGTTTTTGGGTGTCTCCTCTCTTCTCCTTCTTCATCTATTTGCTTAGTGGTGTTTGTGACTCCATTAGAGGTGCAACACTTGAGGCACTAAGCTTTCTAAAGCCAAGGATTGATTATTATTGCTATATAACAATCAAAGGTTAGCTCTAAACCCTATTTTATGTTAATATGATTAATTTTATGCTAGATCTAGGGTTTATAGATTTGGATATTCAGTTGCATGTTAATTAGACAAACTAGATCCAAAAGCTATTGGGGTTTACATGTACACCATAGGAATGATGTATTGCTTGAAACCTATCAGAAACATCTGCATGAAAACACCATTCTTCCTCCAAATATTCAATTTCAAAACAATATGCCTCGAATTTAGGATAAAGCCAAAGAGGGAAAGAAAGTTGATCAAAGCATTTGCAATGCAAAAAATTTCATTCTCAATGTTCTCAACGACGACTGTGGCCGATTGATAGTCATACCTAATTGCTGGTGTACTTAGAAATTTATATTTTTTTGTTTGGCTCGACTATGAAAGTTACAAGAAATCAAAAATTCAGCAAATATTTTACATTTATCGACTAATAGGAAAATGCTAAAAATGGACAAATTACAAGAAATAATGTATTTTGCTTTGAAGGTACGATTGAAAT